CATGGGATTAATCAGACTGAGGAATGGAGGAAACAAGTTGTTTTTCCAACTGTAATAAATGGAAGCGCTCCTAATTTGGAAGAATGGGAAATATTCTAAGAGCCATTTTGTTTATTTATGATACCCCTCAATGTCAGTGTTTCCGTCCAAAGACATAAGACAGCAGCAAAAGCTGTGAGCCCTAAAGACAAAAAAAAGGGGAAATTTCTTTAGCTGCATCACTACTTTAGCGTAATCGCTGTCCAAAAAAGTAACCAAAGCCTACTTTGAGGGTTGCTTGTTGGCCGCTGTCCCCTTCAGGGCCCCGTTCATGTCCAGGACTCCACTTCCTCTATCCTCTGCTAAGATGCCCCTCTCAGTCCAGATGTGCAGCTGTTTGCCTACAGTTCTAAAAAAAGAAAAGATACAAAAACAGGTTGTGAATTTTCAAGATGAACAGTAGCATTTCTAACAATAAGTATTTTTCAAATATTATAAGCGTTCTAAACTTCAACGTTGCAAATACACACACACACACACATATATCATATATATATATATATATATATATATATATATATATATATATATATATATATATATATATATATATATATATATATATATATATATATATATATATATATATATATATATATATATATATATATATATATATATATATATATATATATATATTAGTGGACTTTATTACATATAGAATATGTAATAAGTTTTTGGGTGATTTTTTGGTACATTTTAGGGAATCTCAGTATGTATTGGATTGAAATCTTGCCCTCTAGTGTAAAACCTGTTAATTCTCAGCATGTGCATCACATTAGTAAACAACATTTTATTTTTCTTCAACAGAATGAAAAAGTTTCTCATTATAGGTGCCTGTATGTATGTATCTCTTCACTTAAATTTTTAACATTGGTAAAACTTCTATCTAGGTTCCTCTGCATGAAGGTATAGTTGGTTAGCTTTAATTGTAAAATACCGTAAATAATTCTTTTCTGACTGATATCAACTAATGAGTGTTTAATTGTTTGTTTGTTTTTTGTTTTGTTTTTTTGGTTTGGTTTGGTTTATTCCCTGTTCAGGGATTTTAGACACTGTCACAAGAAAAAACTCTGAAGCAGGGGTTCCTCAAGGCTGTTGTCCTGCTACTTTTTAATGCATCCCTAGATGCTTATTGAGCTCTTAAAAAGCATTCTGGGATATATTTGCTCGTCTAGTGTCCATGGTTGCTCACTACTTTTTAAGGTGCCATGTCCACAACTTTTTCATCCACTAAACATTCTGACACTCATATAAAATGGCATAACCTCTATATAGGGCTCTATGTAGGGGATTAGGGAGGATGTTCGGGCACAGCCACTGAGTTTCTTTTTATAACTTCCTAGATGAGTTTTGGTGTCCTCTGCTATGACCTAAGCCAACTGATTTTGGATATTACACGCTTGATCACCAGAAAGATAGAGTTGAATTAAGTTGGTTGTTAATTGGGCCTAGAATTGCTTTTGGCTTGTTTATAATTTATAGTCAAATTTCTGGTAACTGGGCCCATTAAGATTGGCCAAAATATGTTATTTGAGCACTTTTGTTGTTTGATTGTGAAACTTTTTGGAAAACATTTGCTGAATCTAAACACAGATTTGGTTTATGCAATTTCTGGAGTATTTAATATAAAAAAAAAACTGTATGAATTTAGTGTTGCGATGGACTGGCGACCTGTCCAGAGTCTACCCCGCCTCTCGCCCATTGACTGCTGTAGATAGGCACCAGCACCCCTCGCGACCCCAATTGTGACAAGCGTGTCAGATAATGGATGAATGGATGGATGAATTTAGTGTTCATATAAACCAACCAACTTTCATGTACGAAATTGTGCTTTTATATCAGTGATCAAAAACATTGGCAGAATCAGTCCCATGTTGGTAATTATTCCTCCTGTCAGTCACATTTTTATGTGAGCCTAGCTGAGGCTTTGAACTCCAAGCTACCAACTGATCTGATATCAGTGTATGAGTTTTGAGCGCGTTTACTGGTCTGTATGGCTGGAAATTCACAATATAAATTCAGCCATGATGACATTGATAGATGCTAACAGAGAGACAATAACAACATTTTCATATTAGAAGGATTGATGTGTTAAATAATAAAATAAAAAGGCACCAGAACAAACAATAGTTTGATAATAAAACTTAATCTTGTTAAAGGGAACTTTATGAGATTAAAAACCATTGTATTTTTCCAATAGTTACATACATTTAAAGCTGCATTTACTGTATCACTCATATAAGATATTTTTGTGTACATAATTCTTTTTCATTTTGTTTTTATTGTGTGAGTTTTCTGTTTTACAGTTTTCTGGATATGTTTTTATTTTTTGTTACAGCTTTAGACAAAATTTCCCACATTTTCTATCATCCCTATTGTATATAATCCTCTACTGAGCCCTTGTTCAAGGACAGATTCTTAGACACTAGTGCCATCTTGTGGTCAGTTTTCATCAGCAAAACCTTAACCATGTAGTGACTTGAGGATGCCACTGAAATATCCCAGCCAACCACAGCAAAGCTGAATGGAGAGTGGAAAGAAGTTTCCTATTTCACATTTGAGTTTTAAATCAGCTTTATTAAACTTTTCTGTTCTCTTTTCTGCTGTGAGTTTAAACTGATTGGTTGTATCACCGCAAATTAGTTATAGCACTTTTTGAGACAGAAGAAAATAAAAATATTGCTCCTCTCCTGTTTCTGTCATAGCTCGTTTCATGTGTCGCCCAATTTTTTGGGATGGGGTCCAGCAACCGTTTTAACAAGCAACAATTTTTATTTAGATACTGCCTTTAACTAATGAGATTTTCTTTACACTTTAATGAATTGAAGTCTGAAGCTTCTCCCCTATGATACTGTGCAAAAGATTAATTAAAAATTTTCCTCTAATGTATAAAGCTCTAATTTACCAGAAGAAGAACACTGAGCAACTTTCAATTCTGTCAGATGATAAATTAGGGGAAAAAGAAAACTCCATACAGAAAGGTCCCCATTAAAGTGAGGATTAGGTGCTGCACAATAGTGCTCACTTCCCCACCATGCGACCATTTAAAAGTTCATATTAGGAAAATATTATTTCTCCAGAGCTTTAGATGCTTCTCAAACTAGATAATGAACTGCAGAAAATTGAAATAAATGGTAGTTTACCCCAAGACCATTCATACACCTGACAGATATGGATCCATAAGGATCACTTTAAACTCCTGACAGATAACTTTGAACAGTCAGGAGGATGAATAATTTGGGGCTTAGCTCTAGTTAGTTTGTATTCTATCCTTAAAACTTGATTTATTCTTACATTAATTAAAAACATATTGTGTTATTCATGAAGTGGGTGCCTTATAAAGATGGGCATCATTTAGAAAACCTTGTGTCAACCTTTGTGCTTTGAAAGATTTAGCAGTCAAGTCCACCTCTGCCCACATTATTTTAAAGAGTCATAAATTATGAGTAAACTGTATAACATGTTGGAGTTTTAAGTGCTAATAAGTAAATGTGAAAGTCTTATTCAATGACTGATTTGAAGTTGTTGTCAACCAATGTGTTGATAACCCTACAAGTGGGGACGTTTGAGCCCCTACAGCTGAACTTTGCATCTCTAGCAAGTTTTCTTCTCACTAAGTTCAACTCAAATTAGTCGTCTTAAGATATTATCTGCAAAGGTATTTTTTTATATATATATCTGGAATAAAATGTTGAATCGTGGAAAAGTTTTATTTACTCGACATATTGACTGATTTCACTGCAACCTATTATTTACACAAAGGGTTTTCCATACACTATCCTGCAATTACTTAACCTGCAGTACACGCTGCACATTTTCTACATAAGGAATCAGCTATCAAATAAATGGGCATATTAGGCCCTCCTAACTCAAAACTGGGCTAAAAGCAGTGCTATTGGTCAACCATTTTACTCTTTAGAGGCATTTTAGTACACCTGCTATGTTGGCACTTTAATTAGTTTACAGTAATGTGGATTTTAATTGGCATCTTGACTTTAAGGCTTGAGTAGTCTGTGCATATTTAAGGATAGAAGTAAACTAATATGTGGATTGCGAATCAGATATTTACCATTCAACTATATTGCTGAATATTTTACAATTATACTAGTTGATTTAGCTGCCTTAGTCGTCAACTACAGCTACAATAAGTAGTAGTACTAATTTTTTTCCTTTTTTTTTTTGATGACTTAAGTTTAGTTCTGGCTGAATAGAAAAGCTAGTAACTGGTGTCAGGGAATTTTTAACTTTTTGTTTGCAGCCAGTAATGCACAAAGAACAGGATTGCCACCTGCTGTTGTAAATGAGACTGCTGGTTTTTAGCCACAGGGTGGCGGTAAAGTCACACCTATCCTTATTTAAATAAATTGTTTTAAATTTTTATTTTTTTTATGCTGTCTTCTCTGCAAAATGCAAAGCACCTCCTTAATAATTCCCAAATATATAGAATTAAATAGAGAAAGGGGGCAATTTGGTAAGGCGCCAATGTCAGTTGTGCTGTAGAGGTTACAGCTAATATAGGCATAGCTGAGAAAAAGGTAAAAACATCCTCCATAAGCTTCAATGGGGTTTATTATGAGTTTGCAAAGGCAATCTGTGTCTATGGACCAAGACATTGATTTGCCCTTGGAATATATTTGTGAATGAATCCGCCTCTCTTGCTTATTTGGATGGATATCACGCATCACCTAACGGACAAATCAGCGCGTTTTTTTGGTCATTCAAAAAGGGAGGAGGGGATGTAAGATTCATTTTGTTGCCTTGGAGACTACAAATCAATTGCAAGTTGCCGCATCTCACCTTCCATTCCCAATGAGCTGCCTCTGTCACTGCTTGCGTCATCAGGGCTGAGGGCGGACCCCCGTTGATGGAGGCGTGAGTCAGGAGCGCTCTGATTGGCCGCCGCAGTCAATGAGCTGCCATTGAGGATTTCGGGCTCCTGTTGAAGGCAGGCTGAGCGCACCGCCTCTTGTATAAATAGTGAATCCAGCTGGGCTTTCTGATCAGACGCATCAATTGGCGGAACCGATCTCTTTGTCTCGGCTGTGCAACTTGCTGCACTGTTACTTTCGCTTTTCTTGAGCATCTTAGGCAATTAAAAACTTTTAATTAATACTCAGATTTGACGGAATTGACAGCAGGTGTGAATTCATGTCTGCATTTTCACCACAGATCTACTGGTGAGTACCCGCATCTCCTCTAATGACACCTGTTACTGGCTTGGATTTGTTTATATTTTGTTTTTTATGCCACTTTGTGAACCTGTTGTAAGAATATGGTAATCCGTTTGCATAAAAATCCTCGCACTTTGTTGATTTATACCTGAGGCGGAAGAACTATGAAAGAGCTGCTTGAGGTTGACTTTGTTTGGTGATTTCCCTCTGAATCAGCCACCTTTGTTTCTCTACACCCACTCTTGTTTCCTTTCAGATCTGTCGGGTGTTGCCCCTGAACTTGGAAAATTTCAGGGTAACACGGATTAAAGGTGTAGGCAAATCTAAGGTCTTTTTTTTTTCCTATATTCCTTCAAATCTCCACCTTTCTTTTGAGTGTCCACATTAGTTTGACTTTTCTTCTCTTAAACTTCTATTTTTGTACTCCATGCTATATTCAGTGTGCAAAGATTCACCTTTCTCCTCATTAATCTCTAGTAGCTGCAGGTGCATTGACATTTAAAGGAACATTTACTTTAAACATTTACTTGGAGCACAAAAGTGAAATACTAGACTCTTACACAGACAAATTACACAGCAAAATGGTTTGGAAGATATGCAAGTTGTTTGAAATCTCATTTTGCAAACACCATTAAAACCTCAGGCGCCTCTGTCTCTACCAGGAAGTCAAGAATCTAGCTCTACTGTAGCCACAACTTTTTTCCTGTCTTTGTTTTCTTGCACTTGGCACATGGTCGCCTTTTTTTATTTATTTAATCTCTGTCAGGAAGTTATTTCCTTATAGCAGGAGTTCCTAATGTAATTAGGTAGCATAGCTGGGATGTTTCTCACAAGGTGGGTCTGTCTCCAGTGCATCTAAAGCAAAACACTGTGCTTCAGAGCAATGATACGAAAAATCTACTTTGTTGGCAGTGACACAACTTGTTGGTAGAGGAGTTGAGTGTTTGCCAGCTGTACCTGCCAGGTTATGCGACTTGGCTGGTGGGGAAACATCAAGTGGGCCTGAACTGTCAGCAGCTTTGCTCATGTTGCCACATGGGTGAATATTTATGATCATAGTAGTGGGAACTGCTGGGTGGCTGCGGCAAACAATGTTGATGATGACGGATGCAGATTCTTTACTTTTACAGATTACTGCTCCTTGGGTGTTGAAATCCAGTAAGGGCAAACGATGTGGGCAGAAGCACTTTGGCATGTCTGACAGAAACTAGTCAGGATTATGACAAAAGGTATAGATTTAAAGTAAGGTCGATCTTTAGGCAAAGAGCTCAAGACTGTTAAACCATCATTTGAGTTGAGTGTTTAAAAATGGGGTTATTATGCAATTAGTTGTAATTCTGGATAAAAGAATCAACAACTTTAGGGACCTGGGGGTCAACATCTCTTCAAATTATGTCAACTAAATTAGGTTATATTGATATCCCAAATCTCAGAACATCATTAATTAAAGGCCAATATGGTAGCAGCTCTTTACAGCTGAACTCTGGAGTACACATACCGGTAGATTACATTTAGTTTTTTGTTATCTGTTGTCAGTGTGGAAATGTCAATGGGGTTGGATTAATGGTGTAAAAATTAAAAAAGCCTTCCATCTGTCTCAAACTTCTCTAAAAGATTATAAGGTGGTATCAAGTCTCCCTTTTGGGGACATGTCCTTCAATCTTTGATGCTTGAAATGACCCAAAGGCATTTGTTTAATCCCAGGTAAAGTTGTCGCTAAATACCCTCCCACTTCCTCCTCATTGTGCCCCTTCATGTTTTATTGGGCGATGTTCTGTTATTCTAAGCTGAGCAGGATGTTTATACAATCCAAGACCAGAAATATGACTGGCAAGACCAGAGTGTTTATCTTTTTCTTCTCTCTCTCCCCATTCCCGTCTCTTCATTGTCTCCTCAGGTCCTTTCTGTCCTTCCTGTCCTTCATCCCTCTGTTGTCCTCTCTTTTCTACATGTCCCCTTGTAGGGAACAGTGTGAAATGTTATAGGTTCCTGCATTTTTCCTACCCAAACCACTGCACAGGCATGTAATCTTTTTATTTTTAGACATCCTTCTATTGTTTCAGCCTGTTGATCTGGTCTGTGTAGGAACTGTTGCTTATCCAAAATCCGTCGGAAGTCTTTTGCTTTTTTTTTTGTTTTTTTTGTTTTTTAATTTCCCAGCCACCCAGCAACCTGTTGAGAAAATTTTAGAGATGGAAAAATTGAAGCCGCCTTTGCTTCAGGGTGTATTGACCTGCTAGGATTGAGTGAATCATGTGACATGATTCACCCTGATCTGGATGGCAGTGTGCTAATTTTGGTTCTTGATTATACTCTCATTGCATTTTTTTGCATCCAAAAGATGGTTGATGGACCTATTATTATTATTATTATTATTATTATTATTATTATTATTATTATATATATATTTTTTTTTTTTTTTTTTTTTTTTTTTTTTTTATTTAAAAACTTAAAAAAATTACTTATTTGTACACTGACAATGGATTCTGCTTAAAGCTGAAAAAAAAACCCACAAAAATCTGTGAGATGTCTTATTTGGCAGGCTATGAATCCTGAATTGTATACCAGCTAAGGTGGTTTTGGGCATTTTGCTGTTCAGCTACATATTCCTATGGTAAAGGGTTTGCATTACTCAGTTGTCCTCTCCTTGTGTACTGAAACTCGGACAAGCAAAGACTACTAATCTGGATGTAGACTGATGGAAAGATCCCTTCTCCCTTATTTATTCGCATTCGGATGGCTCGGTGACATAGGAGTACCCTGTGCAAAGAGCCATATTGCACATTTTAAAAAAATCCTAACAAAGAGTTCTTAAACGGTGACTGTGTAACCCAGAACTGCGTCATAAATCCTTTTTCTTTGTGAGTTTAATGTCTCGTGAATTTAGAGTGAAAATTGTTCTTTTGATATTTAGCACCTGTTTTGAGGAGAGGAGAACTTGCTTTACTTCCTAGCTTCAAAAGTCAACGTGGCTACAGATCATATCTGCCCAAGTTCAACAGGTGTTAGCAGACACTACAGTGAAAGTGCCGTTCTAGCAGACACCTCAGTTTGGCCTTATAAGTTGTCTCTTTTAGATATTTCTAAAAGTGTATATGACATCTGTTGGTTCTTATGAATATTTACTGTTCTAAAAATAAGCGTTTTCAGACTTTAGTCCTATTCCTTCTTTCCAAATGCCACACCTGCTTTGTACAGATTAGGATAAAAGGGATATGCATATGAAAAGATAGACTGTGCCCCCTGTAGACATTACAGTTCCTCAGGTGAGTGAGTAAACCAGGTGACGGTCATCATTTTGATGACTACAAAATGATGAATCAGAAGCTAGAGGCTCTAATTGTTAATCAGCACAATGTATAAAACTGCTTTTGTCTTGCTGTTTTTTATTGTCTTTATTTTTTGCATTGTTAGTAACTCTGAGTCATCAACTCATCTCATCTCAAATCATATTTGGAAATTCCCAAAAACATATTTCATGTATTAACTGTGAAACTCAAGCAGGTGTTTTAACACCACTGGTTTCAAAAACGTGACTGTCAGCTGATTGTAACATTTTACAGATGGTTGGATACATGGGATATATATATATATATATATATATATATATATATATATATATATATATATATCTATCACATCACTGCAGGTTTTCATTATTTCATCTTAACTTTGTTGAAAAATTTTGACATAAAAGTAGGTCAAGTGAAGCCCACACACCCTTTACCATTGCATGCAGCAAAGTCCATTATATTGTAATGTTTGAATGCATGTAAGCATCTTATCCGGTTCCATTTTCTTTGGCCCGAGTAGCCATAGACGCACAGACCACAGCACTGTGGCTAGCGACTGACCACTAGGCTTTAAATAGAGACCGTGAGAAGGCAAATACGCGTCTTGTCTCAGGGTTCATGTTTGATCAGGGACTCCTCTCCAATGTTTACGGTTATAAAACACTAGGAATCCCTAGGCACGAGTTTTACAAAAAACCTGTATAAAATGGAAAGTTTGTCCCGGCCTCGAGTGCATCAGGTTCCTCCCCATTCAAATACCACATCACGCCCCCAGCACACTCTCACAATGACTGTTCCAAGCTGCAAGTGCAAGAGCACATCTTTCTGTTGTAGAAAGCCACCTTATGCAAGCGACACAAGTGCTGCAGCTTTGCAGTGCATTAGAACGCCAGACCCAGTAGTGGAAGTTTTGGTCCATTGTGGTCAAGATGCACAGAGAATAAACAAAAATCTAAAGCTTGTACAGGGAAGTGAATGCACGAAAGGCTTGGGCCTTGATCTGCATATAGATTGCTTGTGGTGTTTTTATCCATGTGATATTTTCCATTGACTGTGACCCTAATGTTTTGGTACACTGTTTTTTATGTGCAGATATGACTTGGAAAGAAACAAATATAAGCGTTTAATATGCTTTTTACTTCAGTGCCTTTATAGTCCAAGTTGTGAATATACATTTTCTCTGCACATATGTTCACTCGCTAAATCTCTCATCTTTCTCTCCTGCAGCCCAGTGTTTGTGCCTGTCCCAGATATGACTGAAGTGATGATCAGCAACACGCCCATGGAGGATATGAGGCTCAGCCCAAGCAAGGACAGACTCACCTTCCAGGTAATGCACACATTAAAAACGGACAGTAAAACAGTGCTTCCTTTCTAAATGCCTTTCCCATGTGTTTAATGTGGAATTCCATTACATACAGCATAGATTTGTTGAGACAATATAACAAGCTGCTTTTGAAATTAGAAAAAGGGAGCTGCGATGACTTGTGATTTAACATCAGAGAAGAATTATGCATCAAGGTCAACTAGAGCCACTCTTTTATATTATATTTTCTATATTTAAACTTAATTTCCCAGAATGGCGTAAAACTAAGCAGTCAAGATTCACAAGATTAAGATTTGTTTTTCTAAATAATTAAGATTCAATGGTTGCAAAAAATATGAAGGTGACCATCTTTGCTTTGCTCTTTCAGGGAGGAAAAGAGGAAATTTAGTCCTGCACAGAAAATAAATATCACATATAATGGAAGCAGGTGGTCCTGATAAGCTGCCACCTGCGTCTTTGTCTTGCTGTCTGCTCAATAGGGTTGTCTTGAAGCATAAACTGAGATTCAAATTTCCTTTTTTTGGAGCCTAGGTTGAACAGTTTTCCAGTCTTCTAGAAATGTAAACAGCAAGTTGATTAGTTTTTCATTTTAGAACCTGAAGAGGATGGAGACTGAGGGGCACTTTAAATGCTGAAACAAATTTCTACTTGTGTGCAGTTGAAAACTTTGACTTTTGGAAACATTGATGACATATTAAGTACATATTCAGAGCTTTCAAATCAGTACATTTATAAAGCAGCTGTCTGCTCTAAATGCCATGCAGAAAGGATGCAGACTGACCCAGAGGAAGAGCTTTGCTTCCTATGACTCCTTGGTTTACACCCAGCTGTGAGTCTGGATTGAACGGAAGAGGCCAGAATGAAAATGAGCATCACATTGCTTTTTTTTTTTTTTTTTTTTTTCCCCTTTCCTTCTGAACTCTTAACTGGGAATTTAATCTCAACAATTTCCCAATGCCCCAGGTTTTGCTTAGAGAGAAGCTCTGAGGAAGGAGATGGTTTCACCAGTCGTATCCCTAATCTCTTACACAAGTTGATAAAGTGAATGTAGCCCATGGTCCTTCAAGAGGAAATTAAACGAGATGAAAATCGACCTAGAGTTATTCTCTCAAAAGGCAGCGTCATGATTCAGATTCCCCACCCCCTTCCCCTGGATAAGAAAATGCCCATAATGTGTTGGCAAAATCTGTCGCTTTCTTTTTTTGGAGGCTGACGCAAAGAAAATATTGCAATGCTGGACAAAACAAAAGGCAGATACGCCCTTTATTTGCCTGCAAACGGACATGGTGTGATGCTATAAATCTGTTTGGAAATGGATTGGAACATGTAAGCCTGAATTACCTGAGATCTCATTCGTAAAGCATACTTACAGTATAGCTTTTTTCTTTTTTTCTTTTTTTGCTCCTTTTTTCTTATGGTATTCTGTCTTCTCTCAGACTCTTCCTTATGGTTGGAAGAATCGAACACAGCTGGATCTCTTTATCTCTTGTCTCATTCTGGCTCTTAGTATGCTTTCTTTCCACTCGGCTCTGTGCCCAGACAACGACAACAACCCAGCTGAACCTCTGTGACTTGGTATGAAATATACAGGTCTAAAAATATTCATCTATTTTATCCAAACAGCAAAAAAATGCTGTTCTTGGACCAAGAGTAGCAGCCCATCACTCCCCCCAGAACAAGTTCCCCTGCTTCTGAGAAAGTTTGATGTTTAACAGGGGATGTATGCAGTTTGTCAAACTGCCTCTCATGCCCTTAATATTAGACTCAAGCATTTCAATTTTCCTTCACCAAATTAAGAAATATGGTCTGGCTATTCCATGAAAAATTATTTTAAACCTTTAACTATAAAGATTCACAAAAAACTTGCAGCAATTGTATAATTACTAATATTTAGAAATGCAACTTTCAGCTTAGCTGTTATTACTGGTGAATAGTGGATTTTATTGGAGGCAGGAATAGTTTGTGTATAGTAACAAGCTGCAGGTTAATCTGTATCAAATGGCAGTATTAAGGATTTCATTTATGTGCATTACTGTGTTCACCCCCTCCTACTTTCATGCTTGCCCTGCAAGCCATTTTGTAGTGAAACTATGACAAATCAATTTATTTTTGCAATTTAGGCAACCTTAAGAATCTAACATAACTTAATTTCACTATACTTTGTTACACCTATTTAGACTTTTGTTATTGCTGTTTGTTATTCTAAAATGGGTCAAAGCCCTAAGCGTGACTTCCTACCGGTATATACGTTTTACTGGAGTTGGGAACCCCCTCGCATAGTAGTTTGAGTAGAACATAGGAAAATACTTGCCATGCAAATTGAGAACATTTCATACCCTATTTAGGTTTGAAATAGAAAATGGTTCAGATGCAAAATTAAGTCCCTGTAAAACAGGGCTTTGCTATAGTCCTAATGAAAAAAAATGTATGCAATTGACTAAACAGCCTTGCGTCTCTCATTAGTCGGCTTAAGTTATATTAAACAGCCATTCTTATGTGTGTATTCCCTGGAATCAAAACCCTTATTGTTACTTTGAAATTTCCAAAAGGCTGCAAACACTCCCAAGTCTGATTTGTTGCATAACGGAAAGGCTGGAGGCTAAATGGGCTAAAATGCACTAATTCTGTTATAATACATGTCACTTGCTCTGGATCAGCACCACAAAGTGACATCTTGTGACAGAATGTTCCATGAATGACCAGTAGCAATCTAAATTTAGCTGTGTACTTTCCACAAAGTCATGTTCGCAGTTCATTCAGGGAGCTGATATCATTTAAATTGCTTTTTGCAAGATTCTAGTGCTTCATCTGGTATGATTTTTAAAACTCCTGATTCCCTCAGTTACGACTTCAATACTAAGGAGTGTTGCCAACTCTACCTGGTGGCAGTTGGGTATGGTGTGTTCACTAATTAACTAGACATCCACTTTTTAACTTCTGATTTCTCTAAACATATTTACTTTTTCCACTCTTTCACTTTATCTTTGGTCTGAAAAAACATTTTTGTATTTCCAGCAAATTGACTTCTTGCCCATCTGAAGACTGCTCACCAAAATAAAAGGTTTAGGTTTAGTATTCCATTTAATATGAATTTGTAGGATGTTGGCTGAAACTGCATGGAGTCTCGTGTTAAAAAAAATTTACTCAAGTATGAGGAAAGATGGATTACATTTGCTGAAGGAATGTGGGATGGGCAAGAGCAGGTCCTCTGCCATGCAAGTACAAATCTGTAATCAGTTCTCATCAGATGCTTAGTCAGCTCTCAGATATTTAGGACAGCACAGGTGTCAGCAGTACTTCTAGTTTAACCATTTAAGGCCAAAACTGGTTGATCCAAAGGTGCACTACCTCTTTGCCTCATGCAACCCTTGTTGTAATTGCAAAATTTAAAGTTGACTCCCTAAAATGTTTAAAATCAATGTCTCTCCTTTCCAGATATTTCCGGACCCCTCAGACTTTGATCGTTGCTGTAAGCTTAAAGACCGCCTCCCATCCATCGTGGTTGAGCCAACAGAGGGAGAGGTGGAGAGCGGAGAGCTTCGCTGGCCTCCTGAGGAGTTCCTTGTCAGTGAGGAGGAAGAAGAGGACGAAGAGGAGCAGAACAATAGCAGCATGCAGAATGGACAGCCAGCACAGAATTCCCAGCACTAGAGGCTGGGTCGTTCAGCACCATGTTCACTTTGTTCTTTGGTTCTGCGGGATAGTAGCCTTCTTCACGCATTGGTCATACTTCACTGGAGCACTGCAGCACATTCAACTGACACATCCAGTGTCTCTTGTTGCCATTTCTTTACCCATGGCACAAATGTATGCATCCACCAAAACTAAAAATGACCCTCTCCCCGTCGATTGACTTTAGACTAACCTTTCTTCCTGTGTGGACACATCAAAATGGGGGTTAAAGATCAGATAAAGTCTACATCCCTCCCCTACTTCCCATTGTGTTCATAATATGTCAAGTCAATGGCGATGCTCGGCTCAAGAGCAGCAGATTAGTGCTTCACGAGCGGCTCTTCCCCTGCAAGAGACAACTCTGCTCTGACCCCAAAATGGCTGGCATCATGACCCCAGAGTCTTTATACCTGTGTGCAGAGCAATTGTGGAACCTGTGGGGAGTTATTGTACAGTGCACTGTTTTGTTTTTAATTGCTTTAATAATTATTGCCACTGCTGTCTATAGATTTGTCTCTTGATGTCAATGTTGGTTGTCTTTGAGAAGTGGATATTTTGTAGAAAGTTACTGGGATTTGTTTTTGTTGTTTTCTGCACAGAATTTGCTGGGGTTATAAATGATAAAATAAGTTGTTAGTTATTTTGAAGAAAATCTTGAGCAGAAAACGAAAAGTGTAACTGACCGACTTTGCAAGCTTACTGTGCACTGAAACCAGAGTTATGCTATTAAACCTGTCATCACATTGGCCTCCAAGAACCAGCGCTTGGATGACAAAGCTAAACGTTTAAGGATGAGCTTTTGAAAGAGGGCACTTGTTAAAGCAATGTAAAAAGCCAATGAAGGATGTGTAAGTACATGTTCCTGGTGTGATGAATTGAACATCTTTTCTAGTCTTCCTGTTTAAAAAAAACAAACAAAAAAAAACAGCCATATGTTTAATGCCATAAAGTTGTGGAAAAATTAGGCAATACCTGAAACAGTACTTTTCATTGACCATTGGGACAATTGCCAAAAGGTGTTTGGAAGTTTGTATGTTTGTGTGCGAGTGTGGGTGGGTATGAAATATGCAAGTGACTTGTCCAGGAGTCGTAACCAGTTCAAGTTTGAAAAATCTTTGTTCTTTTTTTGTGGACAGTTTGATGTTACTGTTGTGGAAGCATGACTAATGTCCGTCTCTTCAATCTTTCTCATGTGAGTGGCTTTAGGGCTGTATACAGAACATCTTCGTCATGTCAAGTTGCCTACAGGTCCCCATATTGTTTTTGTAAAGCTCAGGGAGATTAGCCGCCATCTTTCTCTTGTTACTGTTTGTTTTGTTTTATTTTGTATTTAGACCACTTTTCTCATTAATTATTGCAAAGACTGTAAATAAAGAAATCAAATTTGCTATACACATGTGTGGGTCTACAGTAATTTTTTTGCGTGTTCTTGTTTGAAACTGGGTAATCCTGTGCACTCGTAGCAGTTTCCAGAAGTTCCCTGTAATTTTCCTCTTGTAAATCCACTCCCCCACACACACATACACTTAGATCTACCCCCCACTCATCTTACCTGCAGTGGTTGGAGAAAAGCAGTCTTGTTTCCTGCTTGGCATCTTTCACACTGAGAACATCTCTCTCCCTCTATGAAAACAGATGCATCAAGTAAGTGTTTGTGTGTATATATAGAAGCGAGAGCAGCCACATGCTACTTCCTGTCTAAAGTTTGCACACAATCTTTCACCTACTTGCAACAAAATCTCATTCCTGAACCTCTGAACAGCTTTCAGTTTTACACAAAGCTATATGGAGCAGGTAAGCTTGAGCAGTATGGCATAGAAAAAGTTTTCAACCCATCTTGAAAACACCTAACAGTACAGGGTATTCATTAGGACTGTGGAAGCAACAACTCTGGTTTGATATTCACAGGTGCAGTTCAGAACATTGAAATACCAAGACACCTATTTTCTTAAGCTCAAAGTTCTAGTTGAACATGTTTGTTAAAAGATCCACACGTTTTTGCATATAATCTAACTAAATGGTTAGTGTTATGGGTCAGTTAATTTTAGAATCATTTCTATTTGTTAAATTACTAAATTTGATTTAGCCTTCCAGTTAATTTGCTTGGGGAAAGGAAAAAATTCTCGGAAAAGTTTTTAATAAAACTAATAGTTTTTCAAGAAGATCACGGGGAAGAGATCTGACTTGGCAGTTGTCCAGAAAAAAAACCTCCTGATCAGCCTTCACAAAAAGCATAAGCCACAAAATCTCATTGCTAAAAGAGTTGGCTCTTTAGTTTCATTTACAAGTCTATTCATGTGGAGGGAAAGAAATGGTGAACGTGTAGACACAATTACAGCTCAGAGAGGATTTAGAGCTTGTTCATTAGTCGACAGTAAATTCACAAGGAAGGGAATAAAAGTTGAATCTAGACTTCAGGAGCCAGAACAAAAGAGGAATCTAGGACCTGGGCTACAACTTTTTAATTCTTTAAGTTGCTCATAACAGTGCAGGTTGTAATTAAAAGAATTTTAAAACCCAGGTTGATTCCAATACTGTCACTTCTGGATACAAATTTTGCTTCGGATCATCAAGACGATGATGAGACAAGTAAATGTCCAGTATTAAACCAGCTCGGTGCAAATATCTGTAGTTTCTGAAAATAAGTGTTTTTTTTCCCCTTAATTTGAGTACGGTATTTAATAATAATAATAAAATAATAAAATAAAATAAAAAATAAAAAATAATAATAATACGGTAGTTAAGATGATCTGCCAATGCAATGAGTATTTTTCCTCTTTAAATTGAATAGGCATTTGAAATAAAACAATGCAATTGCTTATTTTTAGGATTTTCAATGTAAGTTTTCTATTCCATTTGCAAAGTGTCTCACCTGCTTAATTGAACAAAATGCCCTTGTATTAAGAAAAATGTACTTGCTTATATTTCAAATTGTTTTGCAGTGCTGGGCTTAAACATGTAAGCAGAGATAGTGTTATCACCCTAATGCCAAGCTGAAATGTGGAATTAATTTATAAAAAGAATAACCCAAAGGTATTCAGTAAATAAACTGCACAAGGCCTACATATAAAGTACCTTCAGAAGGCTGACGTTGCTGTATTAAAATTACTTTTCCTTGATTTTATGTAACCACAAAAAGTAATTTTTGAATTTTCATTAACTGTCAGCTAATGAAAATCTACAGCATTTTAAAAGAAATACACCCTTAATGTATTTTTTAATTGCAGTCAAAAGGAGTGCCCAAAAAAATAGAATTGCTAAGAACTTGTCAAAGAAAATGTAAGTTAAAAAAAATTTATTTAGAGAAGCTTTCGGACCACGGTCAGTCATGGAAACTTTGCAGGTGCCTTAAAAGGGAACATCATGTAATAATACTCCTCCAGGTCATCTCTGATTGTCTGGCACTTGTGGAAAAGTCTGTAAGCGTTGCCATGGCAGGCCATAAGAGGCTGAGAGCTGACATAGGCCGATGTGCAGGTTCTCCAGTGACTTCCAGGAAGGGAGACAATGCACACTATCTCTACACAAAAAGATTAGATTTAAGAGTTAGGGATATCAAATCAAGCTGAGAGATGGTCAGCTGCAATGTTTTGAGTCCAGCACAAGGAGTTTGTGTCTGGTTCAGAAAGCTGTAATGAATGGCTTTTGTAACTTTCCTCATGAGTGTTGTTTGATCTCAGTGGAAAAAGTAATGAGATCATGGAAAAAAGAAATCACAAGAAGTTAGAGGAGAGGTACAGTCCTTGGAGACACAGTCTGAACTTGCACCCGGCTATGCAATAATGTGACGTCAGGGACAGACCTCTGAACTTCACAGTGTCTTTCAGATATTATTGGAGACTGCAATTTCCTTCAGTTTTAATAAAGAGTGGACCCGTGCCTCAGAGGCTAAGGTGATATGAAAAGGAGCAATGAACGCAGAATCTGATACTCTGAACAACTCTTATCTTCATCATTGTTCCTTTATCCAGCTTTGTAATTTAAGTTTCATTTTTCCTTTTGAAGGTCTATAAAAAATTGGAATAGAGACATTTTTGTTGTCTCTCACATATCTTTTATTTCATGGATTTCATATCTTGGAAGGTTAAGGTTTAACAGGAAGTCGCATCAATTTGTTTTTCATTAAAGAAATTGAAAACCTAGCCAATAAAAAAAATGTAATCCAAACCGAGAAAAAGGAATATTTTTACATGACAACAACAAACTTAATGTAGATAATAGATTGCAACTATTTTTGAAGATAAAGGATGATCTTTTCCAAATAAAAGCATTAAATCTGTTGTAGTCTGTGATTGAATGTACCACTTTTCACTATCGTAGCTTTGACTGTAGGTTCTGAGGTCCTTGTCCTGCCAGTAGGCATACCAAACGCCCCAGTCTCAAATTTTTTCCTCCAGGTCTGCCCCCTTGATCATCTCTCCATAAACTCCAAAACCTTCTTTGTCAATACTGAAGAAAAGGATGCCCAAACATGTATTTACTGTGTATTTCTATTATAGTTTCTATTATTACCTCACATGGCAATTTTTTGCCTAATCAGACCAGAGAGCCTTCTTCCACATTTGCTGTGTCCCCATGGATTACCACAAATTGGAAGTGGGACATTGTTGCATCATTGCAAGTGTGACTTCTTTTAATTGCTTAATTAAAGGGAGAGATTATTTCATATGCATGAATTGTAATAATTCCAGTCATAGGTTCTGTCCATCTGAGGAATGGATGCATGAGCCTCTTAGCTGCTTCTCTTATCAATGCTCTCCTGCCAACCCCATCCAGTTTGGCAGATTGCCAGATTGTGTCGTTTGCTTTCAATTTTTAAGTAATAGGCTTAAGTGCAGTTTGAGATGAGCAAAGTATGGAATATTAATTGGTAACTTAAACCCACATTTAACTTCTCCTCAAATTTCTCCCTGGTAGGTCAACTGCATGTTTATGACTTCATGATTTTTTATGAGCAATTATATATTTGAGCAATATATATTTTCAAAGCCCAGATTTTCCTTCAGAGATTTCCATGTGCTTAATCTGCTGTAAACAATCCAGCTGGTGGTTCTTGGCTGCAGCACATTGGAGGTGTTCTGATTTTGTCTGTGTCTGTGTGTAAGGTGTTGGTGGTATGTTGGGGGGGGGTGAGGGAGAGTGTCTAACACCCCATTATTGGCATGAGATGCAGCATCTTTAAAAGTGTGTGAGAGCATGTGCGGTCGACTGGCTGTGTATAAAAACTGCTGTCCTTTGAGTGAAGTCACTGATAGCTCTTCTGGCTCATTCCTGGAATTCTTTCCAGTGGAAACAATCCCATTGCTGATCCGAGTGTGTCAGCCGTGTCTGACCCGCTGGCCCCTTCAATTCTCCCAAACTCCCAGCTATGATCTACACTAACACTTCCTAATAGTGATTTCTCGATGACTAACCTGGCATTAACCCTTTCACTTCCTCTCACAGTGCCCCTCTTTGTATGTCTTGAGGAGAAAAAAATGTGTATCTCTTTATTCTACTTCCTCCTAACCTACTCTTTTTTACCCGTTTTGCTTGTTTTCTTGTTCTTTCCATTTTCTGCCCCCCATGACTTCCATCTCATTTTGTTGTTTCAGCAATTTTCCCATACTTACACAGCAGTAGGAAAGTACACTGCATTCCCACAGTGCAGGTTATGTTTCACTGCAAACAGATCCCCTGTTCCAATAACCCTGCTATTTTAGCGCTGCACCCTTTAAGTGCAAGCCTCTTAAGTTTGATTTGATCGGAGCTTGCAAACTGATGCACATGCTTGGATGTTTTATGCACTACTGTGTCTGGTGTTATGGGTGCCGTGTGCGTAAGGGAAAGATTCTTTTCCCAGGGTTCCTCCAGTGTGAGAAGAGAGTGGAGCTCTCAGGACATGAGGCAAAAACTTTGATAGTTATTTTTAACCTGTTTGGATATGGCCAACCAAGCGTGGACACATATCTGGCACTGTCTACAAGGAAAGAGCTTAGAATAAGGTTCGCTTGGAGCCACAGGACAAAAAGGGAAAGATTGAAAGATAAACAATTCAGGGAAGCATAAAGGAAGATGTTAAAGAGAGTTGAGTACAGTGGCTATGATTTTTTGTATGCACCTTAGTTTTTCAAAGGAATTTGATTTAATATACAAAGTAAGTAAATAATGCATGTTTTTATTTCATATATCATCCATTCACACCATCCATATGCTGCAACAGGGTGGTGGGAGTATCATGCTGTGCAGACCCTTTTCTTTAGTAGAGACAGAGAAGCTTTAGCAACTTTAGCAGCTTTAAGCAACATTGTCTGTTACGGCCTGGCTCAAATGGCCGCAACAAAATCAGGAAGCGACACGGTAACCATAAATGTTTTAAGCCCTTCAGAGGAATTTATTGAAATTACAGTCCA